ACAGAAGTAATCAAAATAATATAAAAAGTACACAGACACCCACTTGATCTCAGCACCCGCATACAAATCATAGTAGAATGCAGTACATTTAAAACGGACAGATAGCAGGAGTACACATACCACACATTATACATGCATGTTCTCTATCCCCTTCATAGCACACCAGTTACATATTTCTATTTCATTTCATATTCAGCACATTTTCAGATTTTTCTCATCAAAATTTTTCTAAGAGTTCTTGTCCTCATAACAATGTGGCTGCCTACATCTCTAATTATGCCCTTAGAAGAAATTCCTAGCAGTAGATTCCTAAGTACATAATATATGCACATGTAAGGCTTTGGGCAGATATTGCAAAACTATTCCCTAGAGAACAGACTATTCCATCAGTCTGTGACTCCATCGGCTCCGCATGCAAGCACTGGCCTCCCTGTACTTCCATCCTGTCCTCATTTTTCATGCACTTGCTAGAATTTTAAATGGTTTAAATTTTTAAATGGTTTGGTTTTATCAGCCATTTGCATTTTTTCCTTCTGCAAACTGACAATTCTGGTCCATTGTGGCCTTTTCTTTGGGGACTCTTTTATTAAATTTGTGAAATTTTATGTTACGTATTTCAACAGTTTATCATTAGTAACATTTTTTTTTCTTAAAGAAAGAGTCTGTCTAGTATAGTGATTGCAATCGTAATCCCAGGACTTGTGAAGCTGAGGCAGGGGCATCACCACAAGTTAGAGGACAGCCTATGCAATGCAGTTTATCACTTCTTTTCAAGGAGTATTTTGTTGAACTGGTACTGTTAATTATTAGAATATTCAATGTTGAGGCTGTACTAAGAATGGTGACATTTTACAACAGTTACGGTGTAAGAGTCATGTCACACACACACACACACTGGACAAGATTTATCCAGAAGCAAACAACAAGATCACAGTAGCATGTCACAGGCTCAGCTGGGATCAGAGGCCATGTGGGTCTGCTGCCTTCCACATGCACACACATCAACCCTACCTAGAGAATCAGAAAGCAAAGCCAGCCCTCCCACAAAGGAAACTTAATAATAATAATAATAATAAAAAAACCAGTCCCTTCCTCTTCAAACAACACCCAGAAATGGCAGCTAACAGACACAAAACAAAAGCCAGCTACCAAAAGATGAAAACTCACTCAAGTGGGCTGGAGGGTTTCCACATGTAATCAAAGAGCTGCTACTGTATAAAAATGTCTGGTCCACAGAAACAACCTCAAGAAGTCAGTCATCTTACAGAAAAGCACAACTTTGAGCTTCTCTCTCTGTCTCTGTCTCTGTCTCTGTCTCTGTCTCTGTCTCTCTCTCTCACCTGGGAGGTTCAAACAACTCATATGACCCCTAAAATTCACACACACAGGGGTTGTTTTTGTCAAGGTTTTTATAGCAGTGGCAGAAAACACCAGTAAGACACCACCCTGTGTACAAGTTTCTCCCTTCTTCCTCATTTTTGTTCCACTTAGACCCTCAGCCCGGGAATGGAGACACCCACACTCAAGATGAGTCTTCCCCGCGCGGTTCACTGTCCTGTGCCAATCTCCGAAAAAACCTATTAGACAAACCCAGACATGTGCCAAAGCTCTAGGTACCTCTCAATCCATTCAGATTGACAACGAAGACCAATCAGCACACAACTGAAGCCCTGGGAGTAAGCAGGACAGGTGTTGGGCCCCACTGAAACTACCAACCAGCTAGAGGAGAAAGGACATGGGAGAGAGGCAAGGCATGGTCAAGATATTCCAAGTTCTCCTGCCATGTTTTACATCCTGGCTTAATCTATTACTACATTTTCTTTAAGGACAATAATACTTTTATCTATTGTATTCATCTTTGCATTTAGATTTTTTTCATTGCCCTTATAATTGAGGAGTGTCCTGATGTCAGAATAAAAGGAAATTACATATCTGTGTGTGGGTATGTGCACCTATGTATTTGTGTATTTGTGTGTGGGAATGTGCGCCTGCATGCAGGTGCCTGTGGAGGCCAGAAGAGGATACAAGATCTCCCAGTGCTGAAATCACAGGAGGTTGTGAGCTGTCAAGTGTGGGCGAGGGGAACCGAACTTGGGGTTCCTCTACAAGAGTAGTATTCACCCTTGACTGCCGAGCCACCTGTTTAGGCACTCAGAATCAATTTTAATCATTGTCTTTTCATTACACATAAGAAATTTTATTTTCTGGCATTCACTTTAAATCTTAGCCCATGCTTATTTAATTTAAAAACTGTTCACATGTATTTATTTACTGGGGGGGGGGGGCACTTGCGCCATGGCATGAATGTGGAGGTCAGAAGACAACTTCCTGGAGTTGGTACTGTCTTTCTGCCGTGTGGATCCTGGGATCCAAATTCAGGTTGCCAGGCTTGGTAGCATGTACCTTCACCTGCTGAGCCATCTCCTCAGCATCCCTCCCCC